CACTTAAAAGTCATGTGAAAGGGTATAAATAGATTTTTCTCATAATAGAAACCCTATTTTGTTGGAATAAATAGAGACATTGAGATAAATCCTAGGAGAACAAGCTCCACTACACATTGGGATCATTTCTTTCTCATTTTCAATTCAACAAAGTTAAAAAATAATAATAAGTGGTTATCCTCTCCCTCCATCGTTGTTCACCATCTCCAAAACCATGTAACCTTCACACCACATTCTTCCTCCCTTTCACCTACAGCTCACGTGGACACGACCTTCGCACACAACCTCAACCCACACAATCCATCTCCTCCACTCACCACCTAATATTCACCTTTCACCTACATCATCAAATAACACACAATAAACCTCATCAACATTGTCCATCTTCGTCTTGTCCATCTTCGTCTACTTCCTTACAACAACTAAACCACACACCATGACACCATAATGAAACCCTTTCATCTTCAATAACTTCCTCACTACACCATATATAAACTCCTTACAACCATACTAATAACCTTTGCAACTACACCCTACACCAATTTTATAATATACTTCATACTTTTCTCAAAATAAAAGTTACATCCATAGCACAAAAAATTAGTAGCGCCATACATCATAACATGAAGTTTCCCTACTTATACACATTCACCAAACTGTGACACACTCTTTCCTTTCTCACCTTCCACTGAGTTATCTGTGTTGAAAGAGAAGCAGTTGTCTGCTAAACTTTCTAAGTACTACTTTTGGTTAAAGGAAGTGAGTTTCCTTGTCCATGTGATTTCGAGTAGAGGCACCGTGGTTGATTCGTCGAAGGTTGAAGTTGTATCACAATGAAAAGCTCCGAAATCAGTTTTTGAGATTAGAAGTTTTCTTGGTTCGACAGGTTATTATCGGAAGTTCATTAAAGGATTTTTCAAGTCATCTTTGTCGTTGACGCAATTGACTAGGAAGGTCAAGCTTTTGTTTGGGATGCAAACTATGAGGAAAGTTTTCAAGAGCTTAAGAGAAGGTTGACAACAACTAATGTTTTGATTTTTCCAAATCTGACAAAACCATTTGTTGTGTATTGTGATGCTTCTTTTATGGGTTTGGGAGGTGTGTTGATGCAACATCAGCAAGTTTTAGCTTATGCTTCAAGAAAACGTAAGGTGCATGAGAGGAATTATCCGACGCATGACTTAGAGTTGGTTGCTGTTGTGTTTGTGTTGAAGCTTTGGAGGCATTATTTGTTTGGTTAGAGATTTGAAGTATTTAGTGATCATAAGAGTTTGAAGTATCTCTTCGATCAGAAAGAATTGAATGCAAGGCAAAGGAGATGGTTGGAACTTCTAAAGGATTATGATTTTGGTTTGAATTACTATCCAGGTAAAGCAAATGTGGTAGTTGATGCATTGAGTAGAAAATCTTTGCATATGTCGATGATGATGGTAAAAGAGTTGGAAATAATTGAGCAATTTCGTGATATGAGTTTGGTTTGTGAAGAAACTTCTTATGGAGTTAAGTTGGGTATGTTGAAGCTTACTAGTGGTATTCTTGATAAGATTCGAGAAGGTCAGAAATCTTATTTAAATTTGGTTGGTCGGTTGACTTTGATCAATCAAGGTCGAGATTGTAATTTTCGGATTGATGAAAATGGTATCATGAGATGTTGTGATAGAGTTTATGTTCCAGATATAGCTGAGCTGAAGAAAATTATTCTTGAGAAGGAACATCGTAGTGGATTGATTATTCATATGGGTGCTACTAAGATGTATCAAGATTTGAGGAAAGTATTTAATTGGCCTTGTATGAAGAAGGATATCGCAGAGTTTATGTATTCTTGTTTAACTTGTCATAAGTCAAAGATTGAGCATCATAAATCGTCAGGTTTGATTCAACCGTTATCTATTCCTAAGTGGAAATGAGATAGCATATCGAATGGATTTTGTTTATGGTCTACCTAGAACACCGATTAATTATGAAGCTATTTGGATTATTGTGGATAGATTGACAAAATCTGCTCACTTTATTCTGATGCAAATGGATTACCCGTTGGAGAGGTTAGCGAAGTTGTACATTGAGAGGATTTTCAGTTGTCATGGTATTCCGTCTAGCATTGTGTCAGATAGAGATCTGAGGTTTACTTCAATATTTCGGGAGAGTTTGCGAAGTGCTTTGGGTACGAAGTTGCATTTGAGTTCTGCTTATCATCCTCAGATAGTTGGTCAGGATGCGAGAACGATTCATTCACTTGAGGATCTCTTGAGAGCTTGTGTGTTGGAAAAGGGAAGAGCTTGGGATAACTACTTGCCTTTAATTGAGTTCACCTACAACAACAGTTTCCATTCGAGTATTGGAATGACACCGTTTGAGGCACTGAATGGTCGGTGGTGTAGGACGTCATTGTGTTGGTTTGAGTCAGGAGAGAGTGTTATGGTTGGACCTGAGATAGTCCAATAGACTACTGATAAGTTTAAGATGATTCATGAGAAGAAGAAGATTTGTCAGTCGTCAGAAGAGTTATCATGACAAGAGGAGGAAAGCACTTAAATTTCAAGAGGGAGATCATGTGTTTCTTCGAGTTACTCTTGTAACCGATCTTGGTAGAACGTTGAAGACGCGTAAGTTGACACTTCATTTTATTGGTCCTTATTAGATTTTACAGAGGATAGGAAAGGTAACCTATCAGGTTGTTTTTCCGCCATCTCTTACTAATCTCTATGATGTGTTCCATGTATCTCAGTTGAGGAAATATATTGTGGACTCACCTCATGTAGTCCAAGTAGATGATGTACAAGTGAGATATAACCTGACTGTGGAGACATCACCTATGCGGATAGAGGATCGGGAGTTGAAGCAACTTCGAGGTAAAAAGATTGCTTTGGTGAAGGTCGCTTGGGGAGGACCAGTTGGTGGAAACGTGACTTGGGAGCTTGTAAGTCAGATGAGGGAGTCTTATCCCGAGTTGGTCGTTTGAGGTAATTTTCGAGGGTGAAAATATTTTAAATGGGGGAGAGTTATAACATCCCGATTTTTAGTAATTATTTATTTATTATATTAATTGATTAATTGTGTGACTTTGTGCCTAATTGATTTAATTGATTTATGTGATTTATTTGAATTTATATGAATTGTTTGGTTTATATAAATTATTGGATATATATAAATTAATTGATTTATTTAATTTATATGATTTAATTAAAATATGTGATTTATTGAATTAATTGATTTATTTTATTTGGTGAAATAAATTATTTAAATTAGTAGAATTTAGTTGGACTTAATTAGGTGTGTGAATAGTAAGTGAGAGTGGATTGGGTTAGACCCAATTGATTAAGACAATGTTAGGGTTTAATAAAAGAGCATAAAGAGAATAGAAAGATAGAAAAATTGGAAACGAGACAAAAATAGAGGAGAGAGGAAGAGTGGAGAAGAAGAGAAGAACTAAGAGAGAAAATTCAAGAAATCAAAGTAAGAGTAGAATTTTATATAATTATTGGAATTGTATGATAGTGTAGAATGCGTAGAAACATATTTAGGATAAAACCCCTAAATCTTTCTATAAATTTGAAATTATTAGGTTTTGAGAAAACTCTTTAATATATGATAATTAATTGTGTTTGAAACTGATATTTAATATAGTGTATACACCCATTTAATATTTGGAGTAAACGAATTGAAAGTGTTATAAATATATTCACGAACAGAAGCATTTTACTACCTGTATGTCATATGCCAAACGAAATATAGGCTTGAAAAATTGGAACAATAGCGCTATACTAAAGGAAAGAAAAAGTATATATATAAGTCTCTGTAGCTAATGAAAGAATTATGTGGATTGATACTGTAGCATAGTGCATGGTTTATCTATAGTTCTAATTGAAGTGAAAGTCATTAATTATGTGTTGGTTCTGTAGCAGAAAAAGAAAATATATAGGTACATAAGCTAGCAAATGGAAGAAAAAATTATATATTTTTATGAACAGTAGAAGCATACTACTTGGATTAAAATAAATAAATAAAAGTGATACTCTTTTTCTTTATTAAATTATATTCATGCTTAAGTTAATGATTCTTCTACTTAGTCTAATTATATATTTTATTTCATTAGTATAATTAATAATAATAATCTTTATTTAATTATTGTTAAATTTTATTGAAATTATTTAATGAATATTAAATGTTTATTAATTATTGGAAAATTTATTAAATATTGGAACTTTATTAAATATTAATTATTTATTTAAATATTGATTATTTATTGAATATTAAATTATTTATTGAATATTGACTAATTATGGATATTGAATTTAATTATTGATCCAAATTTCAACTACCACGCCAAATGCGAGAAGCTGCAAATCACAAATCTCACTTTTGCAGATGATGTGCTGCTGTTTTGTAGAGGTGATGACATATCTCTGCAAATGATTTTAAATACTTTCAAAAAGTTCTCCAATTCCACGAGTCTGATATTGAATCCTAACAAGTGCAAAATCTATTTTGGGGGGTTGGATAGTGAGAAGAGAAAGACTTTGAAAGATCTGTTGGGCTTCCATGAAGGATCGCTTCCGTTCAAATATCTAGGTATCCCTTTATCTAGCAGGAAGCTAAACATTAACCATTTTATGCCTTTGGTGGATAAAATTGTGACTCGAATCCATCATTGATCCTCTAGACTCCTTAGCTACGCAGGTAGAATTCAGTTAGTGAAAAGCGTAACTATTGCAATGGTGCAATACTGGATGCAATGCCTCCCTCTGCCTAAAGCTGTGATCAGGAAAATAGACTCTATTTGCCGAAGCTTCATTTGAACCGGTAAGAATACAATTAGCAGAAAATGCCCCGTGGCTTGGTATCGCACCTGCTGCCTGATTGCTCAGGGTGGTTTAAATCTGCTGAATCTTCAGGTTTGGAACAATGTGCTGCTCCTGAAATGTCTTTGGAATCTGTGCAACAAAACTGATAATTTGTGGGTTAAATGGATCCATACTCATTACCTGAAGGAAAACAGTGTGATGAATTACGAAATCAAAGCATACAATTCTTGGATTGTGCGCGGTATTTTGAAACAGCGTGATAACATGGAAGTAATCCGGAATGAATGGGATCAAATTATAAATGCGCAAAAGTTTAAAGCTTCGGTTTTTTATAAGGTGCTGATTGATGATGGCACAAGGGTGCTTTGGGGAAAATTGATAAAGTTCAACAAGGCCCGACCGCGTGCAATTTTTTGCTTATGGCAAGCTTGTCATGGGAAGCTTGCGACCAAGGATAGGCTGAAACGTTTTGGGATGATTGAGGACAACATCTGCAACTTATGCCAGACTGAGGATGAAACACTGAATCATCTTTTTCTCCTGTCAAGAGATAAGACACATATGGAAGGAAGTGCTTAAATGGTTTAACATTTCCCATGAACCTCAACCATGGGATACAGAACTGGTTTGAATCAACAATAACACAAAGGGAAAGGGTTGGAAAGTCGAAGTTTTAAAGATGTTAGTAGCTAAAACCATTTACAACATCTGGGGATATAGGAATGGTAAAATTTTTGGAAACGCTGTAGATAATACAACCACGATTACTAACATCATAGATCATGTGATCTACCGAGGGTGGAACAACATTAGGATTAGAAAACATCTTGTTAGTTTTATGATGTAATTTTGAGTCCTTTTTGTCGGTTGGATCCCCTTGGATCACCTAACTCTGTACTCTCGCCATTTGAATTAATATACTTGTTCCCTTGATTCAAAAAAAAAAAGAATTTAATTATTGATGATGTATTGATTTTCTATGTTTAATCGATATTGTGTGTTTTGTGAATTGAGGTTGAAATATGTTGATAATTGTGTATTACTTGCTATGTGTGATGATGATGCTTGGAGTAATGAATATCATGATTTGAAAATGTGTTGTATGTTCAATTGTGTGGTAATCCAAGTGTGATGAACTATTAAAGATATGCATGAATATTAAGATTAGGGGACGGTCTTAATTGCATATGGTTGTTGTAATTGCACACGCATCATTTGTGTCAAGAGACAATGCTTGTTAGTTCTGTGGGAGCTAGTGACTTGTCCCAAACCTAGAGCGGGGTTTGAAAGATTAGAGAACAAGATTTTGTGTGTTATTGGTATAGAGAATGGACCCGGTTTAATGTAAAAACCAAAAAATAATAACAAGTGTTGGTATCACATTGCATGAGTTACATTGAGTCTTGCATCGAGTTACATTGCGTATGTGTTTGTTATATGAGATTATGTGTATTGGAGAATTGGTGAATTATGAACTTGTTACTTGAGTAATACTATGTTGGTAAACTTTGAAGTGTGAGAATAATTGTAATTATGTTTGTATGCCTTAAATTAATTATTATCTTATAATTTCATTAATTATGTGAATTCTCACCCTTCTGTTGGAATGATGTTTTGTACGACATCGCTCAGGTACCGAGGAGTAGAGTTGCTTCTAGTGGGAGGTAGTTGTTGGAGTCGCTGATTTAGTTTCTTTATTTATGTTGGATCAAGTCGTGCTCTAATCATGTAACGCTGAGATCATTTTCGATTTATGTTCGAGAGATACATTATGTACTCTACTTTATGTCATTATGATTATTTGAATTATGTGGAGTATTGGCTTTTATGCCTAAGTATTGATTATGAATGTGATGAGCATGAGACTTTCATTATATCTATTATGATTGAAGTATATCCGCTGCAACATGCTAATATGAAAATGTATGAAAAACATGAATTTATTTTAAGTGTTATTGAGCATGGCAGATGTTTGTGTGATGTTTGAAATTAACTGTGATACCCTTTTGTGAGATGCATGATAATTACTCTGATTTATTTATATTTATTCTGCAGGGTTTAGAAGGGTGCTACACCGCACGAAAGCTCTTTCGAACTACCTTTAGATTTAGGCATTTAAATCAGTTTTTATAGTGGCAATTACTCACATCGAGGAATTGTCGTAACTTTCATTGTATTTCTCTTTTCATGTACTGCTTTATTACAAATACTACAAGCCTGCCGACATTGTATTAATCCAGTTCAGTTTTACTCTTCAGATTATTTTCATTCTTTACTTTCGCATTTAAATTATTGTTGTTTTGTTTGCAATGTTAATTTCAATTCGGAATTCCGTAGATTTGTTTGATATGAATAATATCATGCGTTGCTAAATCCTTTTGAGTTCAGCGTATGAGGATCGTCGTTACCGACGGGGCTTTGTAGAAAACTTAGGTGCGAAAAATGGAAATTGTATGTTAGTTTTGGTCTTTGTTTCCAATTTTCTTGTTTTATTATTTCGTCACGAGAGTGAGAAATATGCTAAGTTCGGACCGATAGCGCAAGAGTGTGATGAATGAACTGATAGTGGAAACTAGGAATAGATTCTAAAAATAGTCAGAGCACTTTAGGCATCGTTTAGAATTTCATTAACTTCCAAAGTTCACTTTTTAATTAGAACGGGCGAGCGAGAGCAAAATCCTGTGGTTGAAAAGTGTGGTTTTTGTCGATAGCGCGGGAGTGAGGGATAGGACCTTTAAGTTAGTACCTCCTACGAAATTGCGTTCAGTCGTAATTAGCATCCGACTTCTACAAGTCCCTTAGGTACGACGAATCCATATTCCAGAATCGTTTTTATTATTATTTCTAAAACCCTATAGAATTAGAAATTTTTTCTTCCCATCTTAAATCTGTGATCTTTAGCCTTAACTTTGTACTGCAACATTTAGATTGCACTAGTTTGATTATTGCTTTCCTATGGGATTGACAACCTTTTTAAAACTATGTAAACAGTTGTATACGTGCTGATCGCGACTTTCTATGTCTAATACAACTTAACTGCAAGTGCACAGTCTATCGCGTAGTAATAAAAGATATCGATCCCACAGGGACTCGTAATCAAACTAGTGTTCTCAGGAGTTACTATGTTTAGCTAGGTAGGTAATGTTTAAGGAAATAATTTCTGTCACTAAAGGGAACTAAAAACGTTACTTGAATTATAATTACGTGAATCGATATGCAGTAATTATGTTCTTCGGGGATTTGACAAGTTACCGGTGTATGAAATATTTTTTTCAGAATTTATTTAAGCAGAAAATAGTGATCTGAAGACTTTCGTCTCATGATGGTTGTTGACGCTAGTCATAATTCTAAGGGCCGAATATACGCTTTCGCTGTCCCATTCTAAGGGCCGAATATACGCTTTTGCTATCCATTTTAAAGTGCTTTCGCTGTTATTAAAACAAATGCCTAGTGTTTACTATCTGGTCTTACCGCAGCTGTCGCTTGTTGGTTCGTACCTTAATTAATTTCCCACTGTCGTGGCAAAACTACTTTTAAATAAGTTCTCGCTTTCGCGACGAACGTTTATTCAGTAAATAAGTTTAAACACTCAGACCATAAACAACTTTTGAAAAGGACAGTTTTCAACCAGTTATTATCAAATCCCGTCTGAATTATTATTACATATCGATTACTCTGATTTAGCTAGACATGGATTTGGGAAAGCTAAAACATAAATAAAAACAGTGATTAATAACATGCATCATAATGAAAACTGAAATTACGATTAAAATTTAAAACCTGTAAATATTCCAATTGGCCTTTGGGAAGATCCTCCACAAATGTTGGCAGGATTCTGGTCTTTGTGCCAATTGATCGTACAAGGGAAATGGGAATTACAAAATATCAAAGAACGCAGAGAAAGAAAAGAGAAGAAAATAAGAATAGAATAATGGAAAGGTTGCTCTGAAGATAAATTGGCAGCACTTCGTTGTCTGAATGCGGTTCCCTTTCTCAGCTCCCCTCCTTCCCCTTTTATAGAAGTAGAATTCTAACGGTTGTAATTTGAAGAAGGTGGACTTGGAGGCAGAAATATCAGGGAGTAGTGGTCCATTATTTGGGACTTGGAACTGCATTTTGCACGTTCATTTGAAGTTGTGCGTTTTTGTCTGCATGACGGTCGTCATGGTGTGTGACGGTTGTCATGGAGGTGTGACGGTCGTCACAGCAGCAAAATGTGCATTCTGCGTTTTTCATGTTGTTTTCATCTGGTTTTCGTCCATATTTCATCTGTAATTGCTTCTTTTCTTCATATTGCTTTGTTTAGGCATGATCATCAAATACCTGCAAAATATCAGATAAATAACATGGAAAGAACCCGAAATCGGATTGAAAACAGTCAAACATCAGTTGAATTATGCATCAATATATATATATATATATATATATATATATATATATATATATATATATATATATATATATATATACGATTTCGTGTTATCAAACTCCCCTAAGCTTGAATCTTTGCTTGTCCTCAAGTAAAACAGGAAAAAGTCGGCAAGCACGAGGCAGCTTCCTTATTCACAAAGTTGGGAAAAACCGGGATTCTTAGTAGGAACAAAACGAGTACGGTGACGACACTGAACTACAAGTCTTCGGAGGTCTCCTTCTTATGCAAATCGGTCCCAGTCATGCTACTGTAGCTTGGTATCAAGGTTCTCGCGTCAAGTTCACCCTGTTTGTTCTAGCGCAATCACATTAAGCCCGTTGTCCATACACTTTCATGGAAAGTCAACCTGTTAGTGAATATGATCTCATTTCTGTTTTGATCTTTTTCATTGCTCATAAGCTTATACCATTGATTTTTCAATGAGTTTTTGTACCGTTGGGCTAAATGCTCGGGTGAGGAGCACCTAACTTAGAGGGAACATGTCTCTATACTTGGGCTAAATGGCTTTCTTTTCATGATTTTTCATCTTTTTGGAGATCATACACTTATTTGCATCGGTCGCTTGCTTAGAAGTGTTTTAGGATGGTGTTGACTGCTAGTATAAACTACTTGGGGCCGAGTTTGCGTAGAAACTTGAAACTTTGGTACACGTAGGTAGTGAAACCGACTCGCATAAACCGGAGGTCTAAGGTGTCAGGACGGTACTGGTTTTGTTAGAATTTTCGTCTCGGAGTTTCAAAACTTGGTTTGAACTTGGGCGCATTCTCGTGATGCTTTTGCTTTTGAGGAACGAACGAAAAAGTTTTTGTTTATGTCGAATAAAGTGGGGATGTTTGCGTAACGGAAAAAGATATATAAAAGAGCTTTTATTTGCTAATACGTGAAAATGTTCGAATTGAAATTACGGAATTAAAAGTACGAGGGAATGGGAAATACACGCTCCGCTCTCACACTATCTCAATCAGTGTCCCCATTGATTTGAAAGAATGTGAGAGGGAAATACAAGGTAAATGAAAATACAAAGAAACTGAAAATATAGTAAACAAATAAGGAAAACAATAACTAATCACGGCCTCTGCCTTGGTCACGTCCTCTGTCGCGTCCTCTGGCTCTGACTTGGTCGACTCGGGCTTCAAAGCTCAGTGCT